AGATGCACACACACACAGATGCACACACACACAGATGCACACACACACACACACACACGAGGGGGAGGGAGACAACATGAAGACAGGAAATCATCAAGATGTGAAACAAGCATCAAATCTATGTATAACTAGAATTTCTTTTTTTTTTTTTTTTTAAGATTTATTTATTTATTTTATTTATGAGTACACTGTTGCTGTCTTCAGACACACCAGAAGAGGGCATCCAATCTCATTACAGATGGTTGTGAGCCACCATGTGGTTGCTGGGATTTGAACTCAGGACCTCTGGAAGAGCAGTCAGTGCTCTTAACCGCTGAGCCATCTCTCCAGCCCCTCTTTTTTTTTTTTTAAAGAGAGGGACAGAGCTTTTTTTTTTAAAAGATTTATTTATTTATTTATCTATTTACTTATTTATATGAGTAAACTGTAGCTGTCTTCAGACACACCAGAAGAGGGTGTCAGATCCCATTACAGATGGTTGTGAGCCACCATGTGGTTGCTGGGAATTGAACTCAGGACCTCTGGAAGAGCAGCCACTGCTCTTAACCACTGAGCCATCTCTCCAGCCCTAGAATTTCTTAAAGAGATGAAACATGGAAAAAAATGTATACAAAGAAACATGAACAAAACCTTTCTACAGTCTATGAACCCAACAAACTACAGAACTAATTCATCCAGCAAAGCCCAGGCATAAGAAATACGAAGAGACCCCATCAAAGCCTGTTACAGGAGACCACTCAGCATCAGCACAGAGTGAGAATCGTAAGCCCAGGCAGAGGAAACACAGGATGGGCTGGACAATGCAGATAAGACGACAGGGCAGTGGCCTTTGAGCTCTAAAAAAGCACAGAGACCTGGCCAACTCAGAAAAACATACTAGCTTAGCAAAATGTATTCTTAAAGATGAAAGCAAAATACGCTTTCAGACATACTGATGCTGAATCATTAATTCATCATCAGAAGACTCTTAAAAGAAGGAAGAGAGGTCTTTAGACAAAGGGGAAGATGATAGCAAGTGGGAATCCAGTCCAGACCCACAAAAAGGAAAGCGGGAGGGGAGGGGGAAACCTTATCATTTAAATACCTTTAAATGTTAAAAGAATTGTGAAGTGAAAGTAACTGTGTGGGATTTTTAGTACACAAAAGAATTAAGTTGTGATAATACCACAAAGGCTGGGGGAAGAGGAAACAGTGTCTGTTGTGAGAGTCAGAGGGATGTCTCTGTGTGAAGTGGGACAGTACCACCTGAAGGCAGGCTGTGGCATGTTAAGGATGTATACTATAAACACTCTAGACTTATTAAATCTACAGAAGTAACAGCTAAAAAAAAAAAAGTAAAGAGGAGCTACAATATGATCATTAAACACAATACTGTGGTAAGAAAAAACTGGAAAGGGGCAACGAGGAACATTTGGATCAAATACAAAGTAAGTAGCAAAAATGACAGAGTTAACATAACCACAATAAAAGTAAATGGTTCAAATACCTCGGTTAAAGGAAGAGATTGTCGTGTTTAAAATAAAAAGACATTAAACAGATCTGTCACTGAGCTGGGTCACAAGGCAGATCTCAGAAGGAAAGACAGTTCCAGAGTTAAAGGTTACCTTTCAATGATAAAGGAGGTTGTTCATCAAGAGAAGCCAACAATCCTAAACTAAAATACAGGAAGTAAAGACTTAAATTAGAAGGATAAACAGACAACCTACAATTCTAATGAAGAGATATTCAATGTCCTTCTCTCATTGGTTGACAGGTCCTGTAGATCAGTAAGGACATGGCAGGCACGCCAAAATCAGTCAACTTGGTGGAGCCGACATTAAAGATCACTCTACCTAGAAACAACTGAGACGTGCTCTCTTCAGGTTCTCACAGAACATTTATAAAGACCGATTTAAAAAATATATTTATGTAGGTAGTGGTGGTAACGCACCTTTGATCCCAGTACTTAGAAGGCAGAGGCAGTAGGGTTCAAGGATAGTCTGGGCTACAGAACAAGTTCTAGGACAGCCAGGGATACAGAGAAACCATGTCTTAAAAGCACACACACACACACATGCGCACACGTATATATGTATATATATCTGTGTGTATATGTATGTATATGTATATATTACATATGCATGTACATAACAGAACATACATGTGGAGGTCAGAGGACAGCCTGTTGCAAAGGGTTCCTCTCCTTTCACCATGTATACGCAGGGGATCCTACCCAAGTCATCATGGCGGGCAGCAAGTGTCTTTAACCACTGAGCCATCCTACCAGCCCAATACAGACTGTCACTGCATTGCAAACAAAGTCTTACTAATTTAAAAGGACCTAAGGTTATAAAATGAAAGTCTATTTGACATTGGTAACACAGTTCTGCAAAGCCCTGCGATACTCTAAAAGTAAAAAGCACACTCCTGTAGATAAGGAGTTTTGAAATGAGTGAAAATGAGAACACAACATAACGATATTTATAAATGTCATAAAAGCGGTAAAAGACAAAGACCTCTGCTAGCAAGTAACATGGTGTGAGCGCAGTGGATAAAACCATGACGATGAAACACAAGTAATTAATATGAGAAACAGAAAATAACAGGGAAAACCAATGAAAGCAGGGATTATTTTTAGAGATGATCAAAAGAACAGATGCAAAAAAAAAAAAAAAAGGAGAACCGATGCTGCTAGCTGGGCTGCCTGGAAAGAGAAGAGGTGACCATTGTCTCAGGGTTTCTAGTGCTGGGATGAAACACCATGACCGAAGCAAATGGAGAGGAAGGGTTTGTCCAGCCTACACGTCCACATCACTGTCCATCATCAAAGGAAGTCAGGACAGGAATTCAAGCAGCAAGAACCTGGGCCTGATGCAGAGGCCATGGAGGGCTGCTGCTTACCGGCTTGCTCCTCACGGCTTGCTCAGCCTGTTTTTTATAGAACCCAGGACCTCCAGCCCAGGGATGGCTCCACCCACAATGGGCTGGGTCCTCCCCCATCAACACTAATTAAAAAAATGCACAACAGGCTTGCCTGCAGCCCTATTTTATGGAAGCGTTTTCTCAGTTGAGGTTCCCTCCTCACCGATGACCCGGGCTTGTATCGAGTTGACATAAAGCTAGCCAGCACAATCACCAATACTGGGATGGACACAGTGTAACTAGAGATGCCACAGAGATTAAAATGGTATGAGGAATACCAGGAACACATTTACACCTATATTTCACAAATCGGATGAAACGCACAAATTTCTTGAAGACACAAATCATCAAGCTTACCCTCAGAAAAAGATTAAAGAAGTAACAGACATTCAATTTGTAATTCCCTGTGGCTGAAGAGATGGCTCAGTGGTTTTGAGTACTGCCTGCTCTTCCAAAGGACCTGGGTTCAGTTCCCAGCACCTACATAACAGCTCACAACTGTCTGTAAATTCAGTTCCAGGGGATCTAATACCCTCATACAGATACACATGCAGGCAAGATACCATTGCACATAAAATAAAAATAAGTCATTAATTTGTAATTTCCTCATAAAGAAATCTCTATCAAAAAGCTTCACTGTGAGTTCAACCAAAAATTTAAGAAAACATATCAACCCGAAACAAACTCTTCCAGAAAACAGATGGGAAAAGAGCTGAATCTCAACTCAGTTTATGCCTGGAAGAGATACTAACTACATAGCCATATAGCCCAATGTGGTGATGTATACCAGTAATCCCAACACTCAGGAGGCTGAGGCAAGAGGATCAAGGCAGGGGTTCCAGGTCAGCCTGGGCTACACAGTAATACCCGTTAAGAAAGCCATGGGAGGAGGAGTGAGAGGGAGAAAGGAAAGGGAGAGAGAAAAGCAGAGGACAGCAATCTTTATACATTCATTCTCTAGAACTTTTCGAAAACATAGTTTGGTCACAGACATGACTACCTACAGAAAAAGGTGATGTCAGACGTGAGAAGCACGGGCACTGCTCTAACGGAAAGTCTCACAGATGTTGGCATGTACAACTGGCCCAGTGCTACCCAGCAGCTGTCAGCATGGTTGTAAGTAAACACGGCACAGGCAGGGTTCTCAGCAAGAGTGCTGAGCCTAGCTTTGCAACAGCTAAGAAGGCTTCCTGATGTACGTGTGTGAAGGAAAACGATCTCGTTCAAGGTTGCGGCTCTGCTGGAGGGCTCGGCCTCTCGGCCTCCTTACTGAGCCACATCATTCCCTCTGACAACACCCTCTGCAGTTTCCCACACGGAGCCTTGCTTCCGATTCATCTCAGGATCTGCAACTGCTTCTTCCTGGGTTTGTTGTTGAGCTACCCAACTGCTGAATGGAAGATAGCAAGACAGTTCCTTCTCTGAGGGAGGAGGTATGAATGTCCACTTAGCTGTAACTCGTGGGAATCCTCTGACCAGAATGAAATTGGATTGTGTGTATACAAGTGGCTATTTGTACTGTGTCATCTTCCCTTCCGATTGTATTACTTCTGTGTGATAAAACCAGAACGAAGGACCATTGTTGTGTGAATCCTACACACTAGGCCTGCAAGATTCTACATTAAAGACAAATAAATGGTCAATTAACCGAGAAGTAAAACTCTGAAAGTGCAGGCTTTCCCCTCATTATATTTTAAGCTAAGTAAATTGCCATCTTTAACAAAAACAGAGCGAATAAGGCAAAAAGACAGCTAGCCCGAGGTTCCAATTTAACCATACGGTTTATCTGAGCAGAAGGCTAGAAACGGTCACGAGAGTGCATTTCCAGTCTCCGGGGCTGACGCTTCGTGAGGGTGGACGCCCATGAGCAACTTATCTCTCTAGGGCTGCAAAGTGAGAAGTAGGGCAATGAGCTGATCACGGGCCACTGTGCGGGGACAAATAAAAGCAGGGACGACTTGGTGGGTAATGAGAGTCCCCAGTCGTTGTAAATTAAGTGTGCTAAATAAGAACTTTTAACACAAAACTGCAGAGAAACTCTGAAGTGGCCCCGTAATGGATTCAACTAAAACAAAAAACAAACAAACAAACAAAAAACAAAACAACTTCAGGAGAGCTGCACTCACTTCAAAGGCACACTCTGATAGGTGCCTCACCTGACTGAATGATAAGAAATGGATTCTACAGGCAATGATCAATACAGATATTTATGATTACTATAAATCATAAATGTGATTTGTGTTTTAGGAATTATTATTAGTCCTTATTGGTAGATTAAGGGAAATTCACTAGTCTTTATTCTGCAAACAAGAAACTGAACCCCTAGCCCTTCCTTCCAGGGGACCTGAACCGAGGGCGTTCACCTGAAAGACAAGTGCTCTACCACTGAGCACATCCCCAGCCTAAGGCATGAACTTTAAGGGAAGCCTTGTGCACAGTGCCTGCCCATGGTGGCCCAGAGAGCCTCTAGACATGGGAGGAAGGCACCAGACATGAATTGCTGTGTCCACCAAAAACCAATCCAGTCAGCCAGGAGCAGAGTAGCTGGGACTACACTCTTACTTTCTTTACAGAAGGGGTTTGGTTGCTGCTTGTGAACCTACCAGGATGAGCAGCCACTGCTCTCCTGCAGGGAGGAACAGTGCTTCCCCAAGGTTTGGTGGTTCTACTGTGTCCCCAGAGCTCCCTCACACAGGCTGCACTCCTAGGAATCAAATACCCATGCCCCCTGTTTGTCCATTCTTTTGACAATGCTGTCCTTAAAACTAGCACTAAGGAAGCCCAGTCCACCCCACAGCACCCTAGCAGCCTGGCTGTCGCCCAGGCTCTAGGGTCCTCATGTGGGGGCAGTCCTCATCACTGGACTTTCCTCTTGTATCTCAATGAGCCTTGGACAATGGTCTTGGTCAGTGGAGGATCAAAGTCGGGGAACCTACTGGACAGGAGCTGACACCAGGCTGCCCTGAAACATGCAGGGGCTGGATATGCAGCTAAGAGGACAGAGCTGCTGAGAAGGTGGGCTGGAGAGCTTTCTGTTTCCAGCCACTAGAAATGAAGGCAGGGAGATGGCTCAGGAGGTGAAGTGCTGGTCTCACAAGCATGAGGACCCTCAGAGCTCACGGGAAAAGCTGATCGTGGCAGCACAGCGTGGCAGCACAGCGTGGCAGCACAGCGTGGCAGCACACTCCTGAGATACAAACCACCACCAGCAGCGGGTGTGGCCTGCAAAGCCAAAGCTCAGCCCACCGGCAAGTTCTCAATGACCTGCTTTCACAGGAGAATAAAAATCAATTCTTACTTCAAATGTGACTGCACTTAAGACAAGCAAAAGAAAGCAAAGGCAGCAGCCGGTGCTGGGTTTCCTATCGTGATTGTGAACTTTTAGGTCACCTTGTCTTAGTGAGTTTGGTTACCCCATGTGACATGTATGTCTGATTTACGTTCCTCCCTACAGCCTGACAATCCACACGGTACACTAGCTGTCATTCTCACAGATAAAAGGAGAGGAGGCAGGGTCTCTAAAACACAACACAACTGAGCAAGGGGCTGACAGAAACCGACTCATGTCCCAATGGTCACTTTGTTCAAGTCACTTGTTAGACATAAGATAACACCCTAGAGAGCCCCAAAGGCTCGGCTGTGACGGAGACTTACTAAGACTGAGATCTCATAAATTAAGGAAGGTATCAACTCCTCAGATTGCTTCTGTTTTTGTGACACCCACTGCGGCATGTTTCCATCTTGACTGCTACGGGCTGTAGGAGCAGGTGTGTCTGCCTGCCCTCCACTCGGTCCCTGGCCCACTCTACTTTCTGCTGGGCCATCCCTTGCCAGCCTCAAAGGCAGCCTAGTCCAATGGTGTCCTTACTAAAGCAAAACAGCAGCAGCACACTGCACTGCCGTGTCCAAAGGAAACCCTCTCAGGCAGCTTGCACCTTGCTCATGGCTCTGGTGCTGACTCTGGGGCTATCTAGTTAGTGGCTCAGCCGTGGGTCACACTCTGCCTCCTGACACTGTGCCACACTCCCGTACTTCTCATCCAGAGGATCAGAAAAGGAAGCTGGCCCATCCCAATAACTGAGGCACACGAGCTACCAACAAGGCAGTCAACAGAGGTGCGTGACCCAGGCTCCCTCTGCCACCTGCAGAGTCAACCGTGTTGGCTGCATGGCAGGTGTGGTCTGGGATGGCATGTAGGCCAAGGTCAGAGACTACAAAAATGAAGGGTTATGAGAGGCCTTGGGGTACATGTGATACGGAGGGGAGAGGTGACCATTTTCTTTTACATACTTTAGTAACTTTAAGGTCCATTTCAGATTTCTCTTATTGAGGGAAAGTGGCTTACACAGTCTATTCAGCTATTTTGAGGCATCTGTGTACCCTGTATCCCACATTCACACTCTGTGAGTACAAGGCAGTGACCATGTTTTGGATCTGGGTGGGCTGTTCTCTTTGAAGGCCAGATACAGCATGCTGCTTGTACTTACTGAGCTGGGGTCAAAGTGCAGGAACCGTTCAGAACCGAGGCCCAGGGGAGGAGGTTAGGTCACTGAGCACACACCTCATAAGGGACCCGTGTTCTCACAGAGCCCTGGTTAGGTCCTAGAGAGCAAGTTCTTATAAACAGGGGTCCTGACCTATACCTTGTTCTCTTGTCATAAGTTCGTCTTTCTGTTTCTGCCCTTCTCTCTCTCTCAAATTTGTGTGTGTGTGTGTGTGTGTGTGTGTGTGTGTGTGTGTGTGTGAGAGAGAGAGAGAGAGAGACAGAGACAGAGAGAGAGACAGAGACAGAGACAGAGAGAGAGAGAGAGACTTCATCCTGGTTGTGTGTGTGCTGTGGAAGCCAGAGAGACATGAGGCTACCTAGACCTGGAGTCACAGGAGGTTGTGAGCCACCATGTGGGTGCTGGGAACTGAACTTAAGCACCTTTAACTGCTGAACCATCCCTCCAGCCCCACGGTGGGCTCCGCATGCCTTCCTTCCTCTGTTGTGATGCCTTCCTATCCCACATGAGCTAGATGCTGAAGGGATGAGACCCCTGATCTTGGACTTTCAGTCTCCAAAACAGTGAACTAAACAATCATCTCTTTATAAAGCGTCTACCCTCAAATACCTTGTTATTTGCAGTAGTTAATAAAGCACTCTTCCTCCAACACTGAAAGTTTCCCAACTCATGGGAAATTCAACCACTCACAAGACTTCAAAGTTGAACCAAACCATCAGGTTGAGTAAAAAAAGAAACTTTTAGGGAACAGGGAGCTGTAATCTTTGATCCTGGATACCTTTCATCATTCCCCTCTCTGCTGACTTCCAATGCTCTGACAGACATGCTGTCAAACAAAAGTCCACACTGCTTTCTTATAGTTAAAGACATGCTAGTAGCACGGCACTGAGGCAGAGTACACATGCACCCCCACCCCCCAAAAAAAGCAATTTTTTTTAGTTTAGGATATGATTTTAGTTTTGAGCTTACAGAAGTAAGTAAAATGTTATTTCTTTTTAAAAGAGTAAAAATACCTTAACCGTGTCCTTTTAAATAAGGGTGGGCTTAGAAGTTAGGGCCTTTGAATTCAAAAGCTCCTGTTCAGTTTACTGTTAGCCACTGACATTCTAGAAAAGAAAAGAAACCAGGAATAAAGGGGGAAAGGGCAGGAGAGGTACCAGGGAAGGAGAGGAGAGTGGTCAGCACAGCTGCCACACCTATCACAGTGCAGAGGGAGCCGGGTGGCAGATGCCAGCAGCGACTGGGACAGCATCTGAGTGAGGATGGATGGTCGCCAAGCTCCAGCCTGGCTGGTCTGGGAAGAATGCCTAAGTCTTTGTTACTGGGGCAGGAATGAATACAAGGTACATGGGACAGCACAGAGGTGACAGGCTCCTGCAACTTCTGTAGCGCATAGCAAGGTTCACACCATGGGAAGGCATTTATCTTGTAGAAGGACTGCCTTAGAAGGCCCTGGAGACCAGGCAAGAGGCTCAGAGACAAGGTCTTGTTCCCCTCTTAATGGCTCTGCTGCTGCCTGGCAGCCGTACACTGGCTCCGGGTGGGGTGTTTCAATATGTAGGACTCAGACACTGTGAGCTCAGGGCACAGAGGTAGGAAGAAGGTGACGGACGAGAGGGTACTTGCCGCTGAGCAGGGGCTTGTTGAGGGTGTAAAGTGGTGGCAGGTCCTCTATGTTGGAGATCCGCTGGTACATGGCCCTGGAGAGGTGGTCCCCGTGGTACAGGCTGCCCAAGATGATGCTGGAGAAGTAGATGGGTTCCACAAAGATGCTGAGCAGGGACCCCTGGATACCCACCACGTTCCAGCTGCAGGGAGAAGGAAGCACGTCTTAGGAGATACAGGTATGGCACCCCACACAGACAGCACAGACTCACGGCTAACGCTGGGGGTGGGACTGTACAAGGCGAAGACCACGACAGTGACAACCTGCTGACTCTGCAGCTCAAGTTCTAAACAAAATTTTATTTAAAAATTATCTTATAATTGTGAGATAATTTTGGGTCATAATCTTAGGGTTTCTATTGCTGTGAGAAAAGGTCACAACTAAAAGCAACTCGGAGAGAAAAGGGTTTATTTCAACTTAAAACTCAGAGAAGTTGGGCTGGAGAGATGGCTCTGTGGTTAAGAGCACTGGTTGCTTTTCCAGAGGTCTTGAGTTTAATTCTTAGTATCCACAGCTCACAACCATCTGTAATGGGATCCGATACCCTCTTCTGGTGTGTCTGAAGACAGTGACAGTGTACTCATATACATAAAATAAATAAATCTTAAACAACAACAACAAAAAACTCAAAGAAGTCACACTCCATTGCTAAGGGAAGTCCGAGCAGGAACTCCAGGCACAAACTGAAGCAGAGGCCGTAGAGAAATAACTGCTGCTTGCTGGCATGCTCTCCATAGCTTGCTCAGTCTGCTTTCTTACATCGGCTACCACCTTCTGCTTAGAAGAGGAACTGCCTACTTTAGGTTGGGCTCTCCCATGGCAACCATTAATCAAAATGCCGCCCTGTGACTTGCCTACAGTTAACCTTGTGGCGACATTTTCTCCACTAAGATTCCCAGATTCCCTCTTTGCACCTCTGTCTAGGTTTGTGTAAAGTTGACAAAAACTAACTAGCATATTTCCCCAGGACAACACACTTTCTGGAGGTTTTTTTCTTAAAAGGTATTAAGAAGCTACATGTTTGCTGTGAAAAATGTGAGGGAAATTTCACAAGGGCATACACACACACACACACACACACACACTCAGGGAACAAGTGTCCTGATCCAGGGCTACAGTCTTATGTAGTTCCTCTGAGGGTGTGTGTGTGTGTGTGTGTCTCTGTGTGTGTGTGTATGTATGTGAACTGTGGAATATACACTAGAGACAGAGATGGTGACAACGAGCTGGCAGTTACCACACCACTGTCTGACATCGGCAGGGCAACACTCTGATATACTGCTGGTCTACTGTATGTCTGCTCTCTTCACTCCAGACACAAGAGAAGCTGGGAAATCTGGAGACCACTGCCTGTCAAGCAACTTTTGTGTGTGTCACAGGTGATGGGAGAGGACAAGAGAAAACACAGCTCAGGAGTTACACGATAAAGCAGCAAAAAGGCAAACAAATACACAAAGAACCATGAACTGAGGTACAAGCAATGTGAGGCAAAGCACAGGGCTGAGAGAAAAGGAGTAAGAGACTACCCACTTAGGAGGAGGCGCCAACTTGAGCGAAGGCTCCTTGAGTCGACTGATTCTGAGGCTGATCCCCAAAGAGAGGAGGTGCAGGAGGACATACTCCAGCCTTTGGGATGAGCGATTAGGGACATGTGGGGGTAATCATGGAGAGGTAGGCCAGGCCAGAGTGCGGGGCTGATGCGAGTGGCCAGGAGGGTCAGATCCTAAGCAGGTTCTGGAGGATTTACGGCATGGAGTAATTTAATCCCATCTGACACAGGTGTCTATGGAGAGAGACTGACTAGTGCTGCATTTTAGAAAGTAATATCATCAGTACAGGGGAAGAGACCCAAGGAGGGAGGGCCCCGACGTACATGGGCACATGTGTCAGAAGCAAGAGTCCAAGCGAGTGGCAGTGACACAGCAAACGTCAGCTGATGTGGGAAGAGGAGGACTCCTGACAGGAAGAGGAGGACTCCTGACAGGAAAAGGAGGACTCCTGATGAGGAAGGGGAGGACTCCTGACAGGAAAAGGAGGACTCCTGATGAGGAAGGGGAGGACTCCTGACAGGAA